GGACTGCTGTAGAGGCTTTGGTCAGAACACTGGGTCTGTCAGTGATGAACAAATGAGTGAGGAGATTTTGAGTTCAAGACCCCCGGCCAAAGACGGGCACCAGCATCAGTCCCTTAATGGAAACATTTCTGCGGTGCAGAACACTGAAGTTGCCACGGTGCCTTCCCTCATACATCCGAAATGACTGAGACCTGCCTTTCGGATAAGCTTGCTAGGTCCTCTGACCAGTGGCTGTCATTTCAGTTCTTGAGGAACAGGAGGCAGCGTCTCCTGAAACCAGAGACGCCAAGGACAAGGCTCAGTAGAGCAGAAATAGCCGGGGAGATCTGTGTACAGCAGCTGTGATCTTGGGGCAGAAAAAAACAAGTGTCGTCAGCAGAAAAATGTTATGACAAAACAAACAGTGTTATGACTGGAGCCAGGAGAGAGAGCGGATGCGAAAGCCAATAGCTCGCGCCTGATTTTGGTACCAGTTTGCAAGGGTTAAGATGAAGCTATTCCCATGAAGTGCAGAACTGCCAGACTGCTTGTAGACTCCAGGAAACATTTGTAGGCGTCTCAAGTAGAGGAAATGAATGAGAGGTGATCAAGGCCCATGCACCAAAGGAGACTGTAATGGATTCCAAATGGTTATAACTCTTGTCTACAGAGTGAAGTTAAAGTTCAGAGTGAAGCACTCCATTTTAAACAGGGGGGGAGGGGGTGTTTAATCAGCCAGTTAAAGAGACAAACAAACATGGGCAAAGTGGCTTCCCCGGCGGTGAGAGGAAATGCGTTAAGGGTGTGTGGGACGATGATGAACAAATTGAAATGTCCATTCCTTTCATCAGAATGTTTCATTTTGAGAATCCACTCTAACATCAAAATGTATATATTATAATAGATAGCAGAATATGACAACTTTCAAAGGAGCAGAATAAAATGCATCAGCAGAATGAAACACACCCCCCCCCTGGAATTTGATCATCAGGGTTGGGTCTAATATCTGTGTTGATATGTGGATACCAACCTTTATATTTACTTGGTATTGGATCAAAATAAAGTCAGTGATATTGCCCATCCCTAATAAGTCTTGGCAGAGGTTATGTGGTTGTATTGAGATGTGTCATGCAGGGTCTGTCATCAAGAGGCAGACGGGTGTTGAAACTGGAATATGTGGAAAATTAAAAAAAACAAAACAACCAAAGATGTGGTGACACATGTACTGTTAGAGTCAGAGGGACTTCTCAGTCTCATTACCGCTGGATGGACTTTCGGCAGACGCAGTCGCACAAAGCATTTAGGAAGTGGAGCTGTGTCGTCATTGACTTAAGGATGTCTGGACAAATCCCCGGACATGAATCGCCGTTGTACCCTTGAGGAAAGTACTTAAATGGCCTTGGAAGATATCCTGCTGTAGCGCTGAGTCTGTATGGGGCATATGGCATATGGGTAAACAGTGTAAGGAGATCAGTGTGTTTGCCAGCTTCATTCAGACTGTCTGAGAGGCGAGATGGGAGAAAAAACAAAGCAGGCGGAGCAGTTCACCCAGACGCCGCTGCAGCGCAGACATAAGCGCTTAGGCGAGTGCAGAACAAGCACATAGAAAGACATCGCTGTTTGTAGTGTGAATTAAAAGAATACGGCAGTTGCTTTGTAGAAAAACAACTGCTTGGCAAATTAATATGTATGTAGATAAACGGATTTAGTTAGTAAATAACCCATTTGGAATCGGGAATCGTTCGCCGGCTTAATGAGATTGATGGTGATTAAGAGCTGGAATGGGGGTTTTTTGCAGGGTAACAGTTGACCCATATCCCAGCAGAGTGCATTGGACTGGGGATGGTAGTAATGACAGATTGAGGCTGGCAGGGTACAGCTGTGTTCATGCAAATGCAATCGAGTCCGTGTGGTGCTGACTTAGCTGCTGGAGGAGGACATGGCAGATAGTCAGCTGCGGGGGTGTTTGATGGGGGAAGCCCAAGTGACAATGCTGAATGCGGCACGTTACACATCACTAGGGAACCATTTGTACTCACACAGCTATGCTGGACACCCGCCTCACTTCCTCTCTGTGCTCTTTTCTCATAGACCATCTTGTGCTGGTTGTTTAGTTCCTTTAAGAATCCAAGGCCTTGATCTGATTCATTGTAACTTTCTTTAAGGTAGTTCTGCCACCTGCTGGGCCGTTCCAGCACTGCAGTCATGGTACAGCACTACTAGGAAGACGTCTTCAGTAGTATCTGACACAGTACAGGGTAGTGATGAACATGGAGCTTTTGCTGGGGAGCTCAGGGGTGCAAAGATGAGGACCCCCCCTCCCCAGAGGCACACACTCACATACACAATCACACCCTAAGGGTTGCGGGTTCGAATCCTGTCCTGGGCTGTGCGTGTCTGGAATCTGCATGATATTCTGTTCTCTTAAACTCAACTCAACATTTTTGTCGTTATAGTTGAACTGAACTGACTTCCTGTGTGTGCCTGGCTTTCCATCCACAGCTGGTGAGTCAGTGCCCATATGTTCCCCGTAGAGTCTGAGTGTTTGCTCTGTGATCGGTTGGTCTCCCACCCAGGGTGATTCCTGCCCAGGCCTGCCATGCATAATTCCTGGGCACAGGGACAGCATTACTTCTGGAGCTTCTCCTGGGGCTGCTCTATCATTTTCATCACAGTACAGCAAAGTGCCGTTCATTCTTCACGAAGGCTGCTAGATCCCCTGCCCGCCATGTAAGCGACGGTGGCATAAATCCATTCTGTAAATGACCACCAGGCGGGGATGTTGACCTGGGCATTTTTAACACCCCTGCCTCCCACACGATCCTCGCGAAGTTTCTGAATATGCACCGTCTGAGATGGGCCTACATTCCTGTATTGCCTTGTTAGTGCTGCTCAGTGCATTAGATCACTGACAGCTTCAGCGTTTGCGCCCCCCACACTCTTGCACCCTCGTTCTTTTCACTTCCATGCTGCAGAGAGGGATGTATTCATCTCAGAGGTGTGTTGTCACTGCTGGAAGACCTTGTGTTCACATTTGATGCCTTAAGACAGGGGTGCCCAACTCCAGTCCTGGAGGGCCGGAGCCCTGTGTAGCTTAGTTCTTTCCCTGTTCCACCATAAATGATTCAGCTCTAGAGCTGTGTGGTAATTAGCACAAGGAGTTGAATCAGGTGTGTTAAATGAGGGGAAACTCAAAACTGTGCAGGGCTCTGGCCCTCCAGGACTGGTTGGGCACCCCTGCCTTAAGATAATGATACACAAGGCAACCGTTTGAGCAATGTTGCTGGGCAACAGCCAACCAGGTGAGACAAAGGGCATCATTGCCCAGTAACATTGCTCAAAAAGTTGCCCTGTGTATCGTCACCCTTAACAAAATGGAGGTTTTACCCCTTTAAATTTCTTCCTGCCCCCAGCTAGGAAACAGCTCAGAGGTTTCTGATGGAATATATTTATTTATTTGTGCCCCGTGTACAACGTGCTTATCTAAAACAATAAAAGAATTCAACATTTTCAAAGCATAAAATCTGTCTGCTGCCGTCTTGCCTTCACAAATTGCTCATTTTAAAGGAGTAATTAAACTCAATATTAATGGCAGCATAAATATTAATGATAATGCTAATATGACAGTCTGCCCTGATTTCTCTTCTTCATATAAGAAACCACATAAAATTTCAGTCTCGACTGAATAATGAGAATTTAATTAGTTTCTGATCATATGTTCATATATGGGAACATGTCTGGAGTCCCTGTAATAATTAGCCGGTGAATTACATACCGAATCCCCCTTAAGGCACGCTAAATAATGCACGTCTCTCAACCACTCTGCCAGTTCCCATGAAAAGGAAACAGCATTTAATGGTGGCTGACTTACAGAAATTTACAACCGCAAACAAATCCATCTCCCATTTCTGTCTCTTGTATTTGTCCTCTAAGGACTATAAAAAGTAGCATGTTCAGTAATGTTTAACATCGAATTTCACTGTTAGTGATGAGCAGAATGGTTATTATAACACACAATAACTAGCAGTCAGGGGAGTAGGAACGGGGGTGTACCCCCCAAAATTTAATTTGACTTCATTTATCCCTATAAATAGACTTTTTCCTTTGAATTATTCAGTTGTGCCCCCCCAATATAAAACTCTCCTGTCCCTTTGCTCGCAGTTTCACTGACACTGATGAGAAAGTCTCTGTGTGTTTCTTATAATTCTTATAATTATAACTTTGTATTTCATTATGCATAGACTGCTTTGTGTGTTTTAGCTTGGTGGGGAGCACCACTGCCTCATGGCTGCATGGTGGGGGGTTTAAATTCCACCTCTGCTCTGTGTGTGTGGACTTTGCGTGTCTTTGTGGTGTGCTTTCCTCTGACAGTCCAAAGATGTGTAGATAGGCTTATTTGCACAGAGAGTGCATGTGTGTGTCCTGTGATGGACTGGAGCGCATGCGTGTGTCCTGTGATGGACTGGAGCGCAAGCGTGTGTCCTGTGATGGACTGGAGCGCATGCGTGTGTCCTGTGATGGACTGGAGCGCATGCGTGTGTCCTGTGATGGACTGGAGCGCATGCGTGTGTCCTGTGATGGACTAGCATCCCATCCTAGGTGTAACCTAGTCATGTGTCCTCTGCTGTCTGGGATAGAGTACAGCCCCCCTCCAGGACAAGCAGTTGGAAGTCGGCTAGCTAAAGTATTAATATATATGCTATGTATTTCTACAATGCGACAAATATCTCTAATGACAGGGTCTGTTTTCTGCAGTACTTAATATAACTTTTGTTGATGATAAGTTGCTCAGCAGATGGTCGTGTTTATGATCAGTCAGTATTAATAATTAAGACTTGAAGTACAATGCAGTGCGAGCTTTAAGCTGAGTTATGCCACAAACCACACTGCTAAAGCTAGACCTCTCATGTCTGGGGACATGCAGTGTAACAGGAATTAAAAACACTGCTAAACTAGTGTATGTAACCCGACTGACAAAGCTGTAAACACACACATATGCAGTATTAACCACCAAGGCCTACTGACACAAGCAAACAATGTTTTATTTCTTGAAAAAGAAACACAGTTGAAAAAAATATGACATATGTAGGAAATTATTTAAGAATGATTATTTACAACAGGAAGTAAATGCTTGGGATTCTGTGCAACCCAGTGCAGGTGTCGAGTGACCGAGGGGGAAAATGACATGCGCGGGACACTTGTGACATCTTGGCCAACACCCCCGTGACACCTGGCAACTCCTGGCAACCTCCCAGCAGCGGCTGGGGGATTCGGTCCTGCATCTCTCCACACTGGCAACCCCAGCTGAAGTGGTGGTCCATTTTTAGTTAATCTCCAAGTGGATATATCATATTCTGTTTGAGCCAAATCAAAATTCATTGGCACACATGAATAGAAAATGAGTTCATGTTTTGAAACCCACATGGAAAGGATGAGAACTTAGCGGGGGTGGAACGCAGAGGAAGGAGGGTGTGGCTTTGTGTGCAGACTCCACTCCTTCCATCTAGATCTCATCCCACCCCAACACACTCCATCCTTTGTTCCATAAAGATCCCCTGTTAGACCAGCTTCTGATATGAACACCTCTGTTCTATCACTGTGTATGATGTGTACACAGATGACTACTAAGAACCCAGGGAGTTCGACTGCAATGAAACTGAGAGGGAAAAAATAAATCCAATCAATCAGAGCAACTCATTCCCCAAGGTTGTCTGTGGACTCCCACGAATCCCTGTCGTATATTTCAGTTGTGCAAGAATCACATTCACATTGGCTTATAACTTGGACAAAACTGCACAAGTAAGATGTGTCATGTCGGCAATGCCTGTCAAGGTCACGTAGGGGAATGCAGAGTGGAATGGAATTGAATGGAGTGGAGTGGAATGGAGTGGAGTGGAATGGAATGGAGTGGAATGTCCACACAGGCTTTGGAAAAACACACACACACCATTATAATAGGCTGAATGGATCATAATAAACTGTACAGTCATTTACAGGCAGGGCAAAAGAAGGTTTTTGAAGGAACTCAAGGGGACACAAGACATTTTCGGGGGGGGGGGGGTGCGGGGATCCTGAGACAGGAGAACAGTATTTGTTTTGTGCAAGTTTCGGAGTTGGGTCACGTGGGGTAAACATACTACTAGAACTAAGCTGGAGGAAGAGCAGAGAGAGCTGTTCAGAGCAGAGTTTCTGAATGCTAATAAGATCCAGCTCCATACAGCAAACACAGAACCCTGAACCGTGTGAAATGGTAATCAGAAAAGCCCAAGAGACGCAGAGTAAGTTTGGCAACATACATTCAAAGTTTCTGAGGTCTGTCAGCGTGTGTCTGCATGTGTAAGGTAAGGGCTATATCTGGAACAGCAACCGGCAAGCCGTACCACAGCGGGGGGCAAATGCAGCCCATGCAAGCTTGCAACAGAGCAGTGCTCTTTCTCTGAGGGAACGCCGCGCTGATCCTGCATAAACTGCGTTCCACCTGCTTCTGACAGGCCTGGATTCAGAAGCAAATGAAATGGCGACACTGCATTTTTTTCCCCCCCCCGACGAGCACAGGAATGGCGAGATGCTTTGAGAGCTCTGACGAGAGTACGCACAGCCCCGATGTGTTCTGGAGACAGGCGGATGAAACTCGAACACGTTTACAGTATTTACAGGAATTCTTGCCTCTGCACAGCGGGTGAAGGTCCTCCCTTTTCCCTCTCACTTGAATGCTGATCTTTCAGACAGATAAACGTTGTTCCTAAAGGAGACTTTGACTTATTCTGCTTCATTTAGGGATACAAAACCGAAGTTGCTTCTTTTTGCCACAAGTCGATATTGTCTTTGGGCTCCCCATCTCAGACACTGGACCCATCCAGGGGCACACCAGTGAGGGGGGAGAAGCTCTGTTCTGCCACATGAAGGCGCTGTATTGCCACTATAGTTCACTGTGTTTCACTGGTGGTTCCAACTTGTTGGACAGGGCCGTCAAGACCTTGTCGAACTTGTCGTAGCGCTCGGCCTGGCTACCTTCAGCTCCCCGGCTGCCCCAGAGCAGCCTCATCTGGAACTCTGTGCAGAAGACCTCCAGCAAGTCTTCTCTCTCTTGGAAACCTGCAGGAGCAGAGGGTTTGGCTCAGGGTGAAAAATGTCTTACATGAAATAAATATGTTCCAGGAGGTGCAGACCATGTGGGTTTGGCATTCAGCTCCAATGCATTAATCGGTGGTTAAATATGGAATCTGAAATGCAGTTCATCATCCATAGCACTTATCCAGCCCTGGCTCATGGCAATCAATAACTTGGCGTAGCTAATTATTAATGGAAAAGAATGAAGCAAAAATCTACATGGAGGTGACCTTCCAGCAAATTCCCTTCATGTGAGATTTCAATCAGTCCACAACACATACTTTAATGTCAGCCCATATTTGTGAGCTCATATTTATCAAAAAGGCAATATCCTCTGCAGCAGTGCTTGCCAATCCGGTCCTTGGGAACCACAGACAGTCCATGTTTTTGCTCCCTCCATGCTCCCTGCCAGACAGTCCACATTTTTGCTTCCAGGAACTGGGAGGGAGCAAAAATGTAGACTGTCTGCAGGCCCCTGAGGACTGGATTGGCAAACACTGCTTTACAGGAATGGACACGGGAAACCCTTCTACCTTGCAGCTTGGTCTCCGCATTGGTGCAATAGATCCCCCCATGGTGCGCGATGGTACGTGCCGCCTCCAGGTGACTCATCACCACGTCGACTCCCGTTTCCGTGCTCTCCCATGGCTCCGCCCCCTCGATAACCACCATCCCCTTCTCCAGGAGGGACAGCAGAGGGATGATGTGAGGAAAGGAGGTGCTGGAGAGGGCACAGCTCTCTGGGATGGATCAAACCAAAGAAGGAGTCAAGGGAGGCACTCAGATGCAATCACAGCTTCAGCGTAACTTTGCGTGATTTTGGTGGGAGAACCTGGCGGCCAGCGGCACCGCACCTTTGCCGTCGTTCATGTTCTTCATGAAAGGCTTCAGCTTCTTCTCGTACAGAATGGCGCCCTCTGTGTGCCTCTGCCGTAATGCCGACCAGGTCTGCTGCAGCCGCGAGATCTGAGAGGGAGCGGAAGACGGAAGCTCAGCCGCCAGGGGCCTTGACTTCCCGGGCCGGACAGAAGGTCCCTTGCCCCATGACCCACCTGTGGCAGTTCCAGTGCCCGCATCACTGCGGCGAAGCCGAACATGTTGCCCAGGCCACTCTTGAGCTCGGCGGCAAGCTGGATGGTCTTGTGCAGGAGACTGGCCCGCTCTTCCGTGCTGCCTGTGCATCCCAGCAGGTCCACCGCCACCATGATGGACATGGTGTAAAACCTGGAAGGCGAGTGAGGCCGGCTCTGCGTTACACTAGGCGGCGCTGTCGTCCCAGTCCCTCACCTGCTCTTATTTCATCATGAATAAGGAATAAGCTGAATGAAATATATACACTGACCAATCTAGGGGCCATAGGGTATAATTTATGGCAGCTGGCAATGGGCATTTAGGGAAGCGTGTGGAAATGCCCCAGAGAGAGTAATCATCATTGTGGAGCATTACGCTGTGGTGTGTTACCTTGTGGTGAGTTACACTGTGGTGTGTTATGCCACCATGCTTTACACTCTGATAAGTTACGCTGCAGTGTGTTACACTGTGGTGTGTTACACTGTGATGCATTACACTGTAGTGTGTTATGCTGTGGTGCGTTATGCCACCATGCTTTACGCTGTGGTATGTTACGTTGTGGTGTGTTACACACTATGGTGTGTTACACTGCAATGTGTTTTATGCTGTTGTGTGTTACTCTGTGGTGCATTACACTCTGCCGTGTTATATTATGGTGTGTTACCCTTTGGTGCATTATTCTGTGATGCACTACGCTGTAGTTTGTTACCCTGTGATGTGTTACATTGTGGTCTGTTATGCTGCAGTGTGTTACATAGGCATACATTACGCTGTGGTGCATTATGAATGCGGTGCATTATCCTGTGGTGTGTTACGGTGCAGTGCATTATGCTGCAGTGTGTTACATTGCCATGCATTACGCTGTGGTGCATTATGAATGCGGTGCATTATCCTGTGGTGTGTTACGGTGCAGTGCATTATGCTCGAGTGCATTATGCTGCAGTGCGTTCCACTGTGACATGATACCATGCAGTTTGACATGCTGTGGTGCGTTACCCTGTGGTACATTATGCTGCAGTGCGTTACCATAGCAACCGCCCTGCCCTCTCACCTTTCCAGCAGGTCGAGGCGGAGTTGGTGTCCATGCGGAAGAGTCAGCAGCTCCAGTCCGGAGCCTACCCCCATCATCTTCTGCATCTCCTTGGTAACACCTAGTATCCTAGCAACCTGCAGACCACACAGGGAGATGCTGTTTTTCTCCATGCTAAACTGCAATGGGCACTTAATTGGCTATTAATTTGCTGCCCATGGAATCATTTATTTTTTGCCATAAATAGAGCGTCATCATGCACTGCTCGATATTCCCACCTTTGAGCCCAGTCCCGTTTGGGTGCTAATTAGTGTGGACGCGTCACGCCACACGCTGACGGTAATGAGCTACACGCGCCGTTACGTGGCACCATCCATCAGCTCGGCGCCTTTATGACCTTTCCGGGGACAGACGCGGCTCCGTGGGTCTCCGTTAATAAAAGCACGGCGGGGGGTGTCAGACTCAGTCGGGGGAGGGTAAATATCCATGAGAGCCAAGCGGAGTCTCTCTCGCCGCGACACGGGCTCAGCTGGAGGGGATGCCGCATGGCTGCGCAGATCTGCGCCTCTCTGGCTGCGCAGCAGGAGGGGCTTGCCACATATGCTCAGGCAGGGCCATCCAAAAACACTTACAGAGATCTCCATCGGGGTACTGCTGATGGCTCTGTGTCTTTACTGTCCCCTTCTGACGTGACACGTGGCTACTATACCGGTGAAAAACTGTATACTGATACATACAGGCCTTAGGCTGCCAAAGAAAATGATGCTGAAATGATCTTCATGTTTGTGTAAGACTATGATTTTTTGTCTCATAGAGTGTCAGTTTGGTCTCTTCTGAAGTCACCACATCATTCGCTTGATTTCCAATAAACCAGTATATTTGTTAACTTGACCACTTGCACAGCATGTTTGGCTCATCAGTACATCATAAAATTATCTAACTAATTAAGTGAATTAATTGAGTTAGTGGGAAAGGCGTAGTTTGAAATTCTGGCCTCCCTGACGAAATGTTGGGTCCCCCACCAAATTTCACATATAATTTTACATATACAAGCATCCCTGTGACGTGTTAGACCCCCTGCACCTGCTGGGGTCTCCAGTCCCCTCTGATGTCCCTGGCTGGCAGTGAAATTTAACAGATACATCTAATGGCTGGGTGCCCCTGAGGAGAGGTTTGGGAACCTGTGTTCATCTAGCCGTCCAACCAGATATCAGTGACTTTTTAGAGAACAGAACAAATTCCTGTGACTTTTTTTACAGTTCATTTTCATATATTGTAATGTAAAATTGTGCTTTTTTTCTTAAACCATATACACTTACTGTCCAAATAAACAGCTTCCTTTCACAGCCTACAGCCTTTGTTCAGTACAGTATCTATTTCTAATATATAATTTATCCTGTTCTATTTCTTCCGCTCGCCCGGGAGTGAAGTCAGTCGTGATGATGTCATCTTTTGGAACAGTTAACCTGTCATGACTTCCCGGCATGCCTGCCCGTTCAGGTGGAGGCCCGCCCTACGGGAGTGCGGGGCAGCAGCCTACCGTGCAGTCGGCCTTGGTGATGTGCTTGGCGGCCGTCTTGGCGTCTGCCTCTCCCAGCAACTCCTTCACCCGCTTCAGGATGCCCATCTCCAGTGGCTTGTTCTCGGCGCCCATCAGCGCCGAGTGGTATTTGCTCGGATTGAACGAGGAGACCGTCTCCACCAGGGGCGCCGTGAAGGGCTCGCTCCCGTCCTCCTTGCCGGGGTGCGCGGTCCGGCCCTCTTCCACGCGCAAGCGCTCCACGTAGCTCTTGGGGGGTGGTGCTGGGGAGGGGGACGGGGTGGGGTGGAGCTCGCAGTAGCTGCCGCCCGCCGCGTCGGAGAGGTAGCCGTGGACGGTGGGGGGGTGGTCGCCGGAGGCCGGCTCCTGGAGGGGCGCGTTGGTGCTGGAGGAGGGGCTTAGCTGGGGCTCGCTGGAGCGCCTGAGGACGGGAGATGAAGGCACGACTTCCAGCACCTTAACCCCCATGGTGTTCCTGTGCTTAGTAACTGCAGGGCACAGGGGAGGTACACAGATCACACAGTGCTCACCTGACTTCCTTCATCTTTATTGTTCGTTACTTTCCACTCTATCTCCAAAACTGTGTTGAAATGAGAATACAAAACAGGGCCGATATGAATGAAACGATGATGTATCTTGATGCCTGGATGCATAACTCACCTGAGCTGTATGCTGGAGATAAGGGAGCTTCTCCAACAGGGGAGAGAGGGCAGCGAAACTCCTGGATCTGGTCCATACTAAGGGCACAGTTCCTCATTGCCTCCTTATGGTGGAGTGTGGAAGGGCTAGCAAACATACAGAGAAATAAAGTCGGCTTTGCTCTTCATTCTTGACAATTACATCACAAGGTATCAGGTATGACCCACAACCCTGACCAGGGGAAACAGCTGGAAGGTGGATGAATGGATGGATGGCATTCGGTATGACTGCAGAACATTGCCAGAAAAATGAAAGAAACCTCTTTTGTTTTTTATGAGAAGACAAAGAGATACAACAATGTGACAGACTGGGATCAGCCTAGAGAGCTGCCCTTCATGACCTGTGAAGAACACTGTCAAATGCTGACATTATGTCAGAAAAGCTTGTGTTTCAGCAGATGCATGACTGTGAGTTTGCGGTGACGTTACAAGAAATGTGATTGAAAAACTGTTTTAGCTATTTCACCCCCGCTGTCTACAAGCCCAGAATAACTGATATACTGCCATCTGTCAACAAGATCGCCAACAGGAGCTTGAAAGGCCTTGCTCTTAATACTTCATACATTCTAAATGTTTAGGTGTATTGGTTTCGAGTGTGGATCTCATACGCATGCAAGAGACGCGAAGAGCAGCTAGAGGACATCACGGGTGGATTCATGCTGTCCTAGACTGTGCTCCTGGACACGGTGAAATGTGGGGGGGATCTTTGTGTTCCTCTGAATCGGTGACCTGACCCAGATAGGCCGTGCTAAACTCATCACCGGCCACCTGCTCCCTCAGTCCTCCTGCAGCCCTCTCCGCTCTGCTGTGTCCGCCGGCCGTAACAGCACGAGTGTCGCCAAAGAGAGTCTCGGTCTTATATAGAGCATGAAAAACTGTCTGGGCTCAGATGGGCCAGGAAGCAAAATACTAGCCTACTGGCATCTGAACTCCAGCAGCTGTACCAATAGATTTACCACAGAAATGATAAATATCTACAAATAAATGCCTGTTATTCACATTCAGGCCTACAGATCCCATACTTCAGCAGAAAGTTGCTGCCCATCTGGTAATCCAATAGTGGCTCTGTACAATGTAATATACATTCTCCCTCAGTTGACACTGTTTCCTGTGTTACTAAATCATACGAAACCATATTACATATCAAGGTATGCATGATACCGTTTCATTCCCTATGCATCAGTGTTATATTGTACCACATCCGGTCATCGGCATCCTTCTTGCCTTGGCTATTTCGGGAATGCCTCCGAGCACCGACCTGCTCCGTCTTCATCTGCGATCACTCTGCTGCTCTCTCGCCTATCCCGAATGCTCTTATTCCTGCAGTTCTCTTTGATTTGAATAGCTGTCTTTGTTAGCTTCTCGCTAAATTCTTTGTAGCATTCGCCATGGCTCTTGCGCCGATGCCGACTTGCACTTGTTACTGGTCATTTGTCGGAAGCTCAGTCTAGCTGCACTTACGCCAAGTTGACTCCTTGACAGTTGTATGGCTGTAATGTCCTACCTTGCTTTGGATAAAAGACTTTAAATAAATGTAAATGTAGTGTTTATGTTGACGTACTCTAATACCTGAGACGAAACCTCACTGCACCTGAAACTTCAGACAGTCCTGCACTCACCTGTGAGGTATGATCTTTTCTGTTGTCAAGCCATCTGTCATGGTGACGCTCCGCCTCTTAATGTAGGCCCCTCTCTGGTTGGACGGAGAGTGGGCGGAGCCTTTCCTGCCATTGGCCAGGGCAAAAGTGGCCTCCAGGTAGCGCAGGGGTAGGGTGCGGTTGATGGGGCAGTAGATCTGGGCACTGCTCTGCAGGGACACGGGTCGCCTTTGGCTCATGTAGAAACACACCAGGGCCGGCACCGAGTCGAAGCTCTCCTGCTCCAGCAGGTATTGGACGCGCGACTCGCTGGACTTGATCAGAACCTTGGTGATCTTGAAGTGCAGCGCCTCATGGTTCCAGCGGCAGGTCAGGACGTAGTCTCCCGCATTGGTCAGACAGTCACGGATCAAGAAGTCGCCGTTCCTCAGGACCAGCGTCTCTGACACCTGACAGGAGAAGACGTGGGTCAGGCCAGGAGGCCGAGGGGGGTGGGATGCATCAGGGATGACTCTCCTCAATCATACGGCTCCTCTAAGAACACTAAGGCCGGCCGTTTCATCGATTCCTACGTGCAGTATATGGACACTGAGAGTCTACAAATATTGATTCCGCTTGCAAAGACAGAACAGAACAGAACATACAGACTGCTCTCTTATTTTTGATCACATAATGTTTGCTCATCAACGCCCATTATAACTATAGTGCTCCTGACCTGCATGGCAAGTGACTGTCTATTTAGGCTAAAAAATTGTAGGGTTGATTTTTTATTCCACCAATAGAGGGAGCTAGAACTGCAATTTGGCTGAACAACTGCGTGGGAGCATTTTGCTATGGTAACAAAACAGTGTTTCATAAAAAGGGTCTGTGGGGGGTTGGGGGCGTGGGGGCGGTGTGGCTTTCCTTGTTTACTCCTTTTTGAGTATGAATATATTATGCAAATGTGGAGTAGGATCCCCACAGATGGCAAACCAATACCGAGCCAAACTGGGCCAGGCCCAGACAATCCCCGCCTGTGTTCATTAGTTGTCCGAACCCGTTTTTCCTGTCTGTGCAACATGAAAGGCCCACACACACACACAAATACACATGCATACACACACAGACACACACACACAAACACACACACAAATACAAGCGCGCACACTATGGCCAAATTTCATTTAACTGCATATGTCTATAATACTATAGAGTGCCCATAATACAAAAAAGTCAATGTAAAAACGTGTGTGTGTGTCTTTGTGTGTGTGTATCCATGTGTGTGTTTGTGTGTGTATCCATGTGTGTGTGTGTGTGTGTGTATCCGTGTGTGTGTTTGTGTGTGCATGCCTGTGTGTTTGCATTTTTAGTTTTCTCCATTGCAGTCACAGATTTTTATTAAATTGAGTTTTCCCTTACAGGAAAAAAAACGGATATTCATCACGTTGTGGGGACATTAGGTCCCCATAAGGTAAGGTATACCCGCTCGTGTATGCGTGTGTGTGTGTCCACACCCTGCAATGGACTGGAATCCCTTCCAGGTTCCCCAGCCTTATGCCCTTTGCTGCCTGGGATCTCCCACAGGCTCCCAGTAGCTCTGGATGGAATAAAGGATTGTAAGATGATTGGATGGATGTTAGTTTAATAGCTATTCTTCATTATATTTTGAGAGAAATGAGCTACTCAAGAAAGATTCAGTTATTATTTTAAATACTTGCATTGACCTGACACCCATAAAATAGGTGCTGCCTAATATTTTAGATTTGACAAGGTCACAGAACGCTACATCTGGATATGCTCATGCTGATAGTGTTCAACCAAGAAAAGGATTAAGCTAAAAAAATGCGTCAAACATTTCTGGCCTCGTTGTACCACAAAGAGCTCACAGACACTGATGAATAACATTGAGGGGTCATTTTTTCTTTCATCCCTTTCGATCAGCTGGTACGCGGCTCTTACGCGCAGAACAGCCAGCAGGATTGAGCTGCCTGAAATGATTCATGTGTCGCTCTTGAATCACACGCAAAATGCAAATGTCTTTTCTTTCCCTTTCAACAGTATATCTGGCCATATCTCAGGCAATTCGGAGGCAAACCACGCTTTTCATAGATTAAAAGCCAATTCCCATTAAGCAACTGACGGTAATCAGTGTAGATTTAAGAGAACAAACCAACAATAGTAACAGACTCTTCATATTCTAATACATAACAGAAACACTACGCATAATCTGCCATGCATCTCACCATTTCCATACACCATAACAAAGAGCTTTCTCAGAAGATCCATTTAATCCACACTTAAGTTTATTTAGGCAAGACAATCGGATGATAAATACACTCATAATGTTTATGCTCCAGTTTTTTTGGAATACCTCCTTCTGTGAGGGTTGTTAGTTAGGCAGATACTGTAAGCTGAAGGCAAATCACCGTATTATGATGCGCAAGGATCAGTCACCCTTTATACACTCAGTGAAAAAAAACAGTTAAGCACCCAGAAGTAATGGTCCGATTTGGATGTAATTTGGTAAACGTGCAGACCAGTGATGGGTATATAAATGAGGAGCTGACATGTCTAGTCACCAGACACAGAGGATGCCTCCTATGTGCATTAGACAGCATTAGCAGCACTTGAGGGAGTTTGATAGGGGTCACATTGTGGGTTTGCATGGGGCTGGGTGGTCGTATCGTGCAATTGCCTGGCATGTGGAGCATGCAGATGTCACAGTCGCCCGATGTTGGAACCAATGGGCACGTGAGGGCACCCACACAAATTGTGCAGGTTCCAGTCGCCCAAGACAGACCCCACCAAGGGTGGATTGTGATATTATGTGCCAAGCATTACAGAACCTCATGACATATGCGCCTGCCATCTGGACACAGGTATTGGACTCTCTACAACACCCCGTGTCATCCTGCACCGTATCTGGACGACTGGCATCAGCCAGACTATGGGTTCACTGTCCCATGTGTAGGCTGCCATTAACACCAGCACAGAGACGGCTGCGTTTGGTGTGGTGCCGTAACCGGGAGGCATGGACTGATGACGAGTGGCATTGTACCATGTTCAGCGATGAATCTCGGTTCTGCATTACCACGGATGATGTTGTGTGTGTGTATGGTGGCGCTGAGGGAGAGGATCAATCTGCTAGTGGTGAGGAGAGACACACCGGCGTTACTCCTGGTATCATGGTGTCGGGAGCCAAATGGTATTACTTCTGGTCATCTCTGGTAATGATTTGAGGGACCAGATCTTTCCCCAGTCGAACATGTGTGGGATCAGCTCAGACGTCAACTCAGACCCAGTGCCAGTCTGCAGGATCTCAAGGGCCAGTAACAATAGCTGTGGGCCGACATGCCGCAGGAGAGGATACAATGGTTGTAAATTCCTTCCGCACCGTATCGCCACATGCATCCAGGCCCGGGGGGGGTGTAACACCTTACTGGCATGAGACCAGCAATGTGCCCATACTAACAACTCTGTTGTCTGTTTGATCTGATATAATCATTGTGATACAGTCACTTGACCTTTCATCACGTGCAGATTCATTTAATTTCCACCGCTCTGTCTGGGTGCTTCACTTTTTTTTTGGTCACTGAGCGTATTAGTGATTCCCAACCCGGTTCCCGAGGACCCTGGTAGGGAGTTGGGAGGAAGAAAAAATGTGGACTGTCTTGGGGTTTCTGAGGACTGGGATGGGAAACATTGCTTTATATGATGCCTGCTAATATGGAGTGTGTGTGTGCATGGGCGTGCGTGTGCATGGGCGTGCGTGTGCATGGGCGTGCGTGTGCATGGGCGTGCGTGTGCATGGGCGTGCGTGTGCATGGGCGTGTGTGTAAAGAGGTTGCGCCCACCTCTCGTGGGACAGGGCCATGGTACCAGCCATGACTCCGCAGGTCACTGCCGCTCAGCTTCAGCTCCTCCTCCAGCTCCCGCCTCAGCTTCTCAGGTGGAGAGTCCAGCAGATACTTCTCCTTGGAGAACTGAGAGAGAGAGCAGAAATACACCCTGGTGAGCGCCCCCTACAGACTGGCAATGGAAAGTAAACATCAACCCTGACTTTTTAATAGCAAAGTATATACACGATTAATGGCATATTTAATTTGGCAGTGAATCCATCATGGGTGAGATTACCATGCTGTCATCCCTCTTTTCATTGGTCACTTTATTTGTTTATTTTCAGCTGAACCAATGATGGACAATGAAGGTGGGTTTTGAAACTCATTTGTCACAACAGTGCTTGTCACCTCTCATCAGGGGCACCTCAGTTGTTCCATGAATTTGTTAAATTTCACCACTTGCTCACTTAATTATTTAAGTTAGATAAATAACTCAATGTGGACTAGTTAGCCAAACGGCTCCGAAGTATGGTCAAGTCAAAAAATACATTGGTGTTGTGGCCGGTTGCTGCAAACACTGGGGTAATCTTCGGAATGGTTTTAAAGATCATTAAAAATAAATTTTTACTGCCAAAGATTTTTGCAGAGTATTGTACGTTTTTTTTTGAGAAAGCAAAGTCAGACGGTCCCTGGAGCAATTGGGCAGCTTTCTGATCACAACCATGACATCATAACCTGCTGAGCCGCAGAGCCCCGGCTCTGCATAGTTCCTGTATGCATTTCCATCAGAGAGCCAATGTAGCGATGAGCTGACATGTACTTAGTGTCAGGCTGCTCGCATTTGGTCATGTGACCCGGGTAAGTTAACTGTGACAGCGAGAGCCAACAATAACTATACCGGAGAGCAGTCGTGGGATCGGTGAAGTGGAAGACTGCTCCTGAGACAGAGAGCCATTTCTGCCCCCTAGTGTGAGCACCTCTCACTGCGGTTCTATAAATAGTTCCAGTTACTGGATGGTAATCAAACCCAGGCTCCGCTCACGGTGACAGGGCAGGGGCGAAGGCTTCACTATTACACGGATCGATGGCGTGCAGACGCACCATTAGCCGTCTTCGCCCCACCGCTCCTCGCTCTGCCTATTTATGCTCCCCGTGGGCCTATCGGAAAGCTCGCTGCCAGAACCACAGTAGAATGGCAGACTGGCGACAGTTTATGTCTGACAGCGGCGCCGGTGGAGACGGAGAACCCGAGCGACTGTGGATTCCACTTAATTGCCACCCGGCAGGAAGGGTGAGGCCGGTATCTTCAACCAATGACAAGTAGTGACAACCGGCACGGCATGTGGGCCCGCAGGAAGACAGATTAGCTACCCAAACCTCAAAGGATCATCTACAGAGATAAAGACGCTGCTCACAGAGAGCCTCGTCTGATGGCGGGACGCTGGGATACATCCACACCTGCAAGCAGTCAGATTACAGTACTTTTTAAATAGGACATATCAAGTGGAGCTCAGGTCTCATTCTGTCTTCCTAACCGCTACTGTACGTGTAACACAGTTCAAGGCGAGTGAGACAATTGCTTATTCCTGCTTTCCAACGTGGTGACCCAAGAATAGCAGAAACGCCACGTCTGTGATTTACTGTCACCATGACACCTAGCAAACTGCCTCGGCGTTCCTCAGTCAGCCGAGACGCTGGTTTTTATTCCTGCTATATTTTCAACCTGGAAGGCTGTCAACAATGACATTCTCTTGTCAGAAAAGGGAGCAAAATGATGTCCAATAGCTTGTCAAGCCTAAGGAAAAGACTTTCAATTATGATGAAACAAAAAAACAACATAGGAAATAAAAGGAGTATCAGTTGGCGACTCCAAGACCTCATGGGAGTTTCACTTACACAAAAATGTTCTGATGGCAGAAGGAAAAATGATTGGTTCAGAGAGATAACCAATCAGATTGTAGGGGAGGTAGGTCCAACCAGTCAGATGCCTTGATCCTACCTCCTTTATTTTCTTGGACCCACCTAGTGACAGCCTAATGAAAGGATTAAAACTCCTTTCCCAGGGTCACTCAGCACATCTTTCCTTATACTCCAGAAACAACCTAATTGAGATCTGGGCTTCTTTTTGCCCTGCCTGGGGAAAATAGGGTGTGAACCTGCAGTTGCTTCTACTCTAATTCGATCGGATACCACAAGCCCAGCATGGCAGGTGTAAAAACAGAGAGTAAGCAATAAAAACGTACCGGGGTCAAGCACCGAGTTATCGGTTTCCTGTCTCGGAAGGGCCACCCAAGGGCAATTCAGGGGGCATTAATCTTTTGTATCATCTCGTAATTTGGTTTCACGGTGTTGTGTGCACATCACCTCCTTCATAGCCAGTCTTAAGCATGGGAATACATGGCTTAGTTGAATTTGTAAAGATATACATTTGTAGCAATTTCCTTAGAAAGATACCAATACTAAATAGAAGATAAAATAAAGACTGTTAGACATGTGGGAACTTGGATGCTTCGAGGGAGGATTGAGGTCAGGGACAAGCCCCTCTGAAATCGACTGGTGATTATTACAGAGTAAGTTTGCTCTGTCTGGGAGCGATGGTTCAGCTCTCCTGGGTTCACATTTTGTTCATTTGAGTTTGAAAGCCTGTGGTTATTTTTCTGTGTTGCTTTGCTTGCCATTCCATTATCTCCTGGGGGTGCCGATAACCCCCCATCTCCCCCTCACTTTGTCCTACAATTTTGGAGTCCCACAGATTGGTTTACCTCCCCAAAGAGTGTGCTTGTTGCGAGAATGTTTTATTCGAGGTTCCGAAATTTGAAACCCATGGTTGGTTGGAATTAGCCAAGCACTGACCTCTTTCAGTCTAGTACAGCCAAACAGCGGCTTGACAATGCCTGGTAAATCCCACTCCTAGTGGGGCTTAGAAGCTGCCTAATCCTCATCTCTGGGACACTCAGTGTTTGCTGATTTTCATTTCTTGGTGTGGCAATGTTTTAAATTGTTTTGGTTATTTGTGGTCCTTAGAATGAATCTCATGTATAATCTCTAAGCAAATTAATTACAGCTGTTTGCAGCCTTTGACAAACGAGGAAACTGCATGACTGCAAATGATAATTAAGCCTAATTCAGTCATTGTTTTATGACAAAGATTTATCTTCCTGGGTTCCTTATATTGGACACGAATTTGACTGACAGCCAAGGTTTTTAAGACCTATAAATATTGCAAACATTAAGAGAGTAGGTATAACCATTCTTATGTACCAATCAGTGACCAATGTATGTACCAATTCAGCTGAAATCAGTGTATACTGCAGGAACCACCAGCACAATGGGTGGTAACCCTATCCCTACATCACATCAGAGCCTGGAATCCAGTGTCTCGCTTTCCCTGGGAAATGTGCTCTAAGCCTTTATAGTTCGAGCCGGTTATATGTAAAGTGCTTTGTGACAATGACTGTTGTTAAAAACGCTATATAAATAAAATTGAATTGAATTGAACTGAATACAGTTGACTACTGGAATGCACAGCCTGCAATGTGGATATCTGAAAGTCAAAGGGAGGAGAGAGCATGGAGAAAGAGAGGGAAAGAGGGGGAGAGGGGCTGCCATTCACACACACCAATTCCGGAACCTTGGGAGTGCATCCTTGGGAGATTGCCATGGTAACAGCCCATTGTGACAGAAAAGGCCAGGCAGTCCACAACATACAAGAGAGTCCCCCTAGCTGGGCTAGGCCAGACACAGGCCCGGCCCGGCCGGTCCCCGACAGAGCCCGCTGCAGTCCACAAGCTCGCCTCTTTTTCAATCTTGTGCCAGTGGCCAATTTGTTTAACAACACAGGCCTGCAAAAACACCACAGCACATGCGGAGGGGAGGTGCTTGTGTGTCTTAACCGCAGTGAACAGCACCATAAATCAGACAGCAAACCCAACATGCACGCTCAGCCACCAGCGAGAGCCCCCAGCAACATTCTCAGGCTTGGCTGCTACTCTTTGTCTGCGTAAAATTAACATCAGGTGTGTTCCGCCGTCTTGTTAAAACGTCTATTGAAGACGGACATATGGATCATTAGCTGTTTGATTGGACCAAAACTGCCACCTGGGTCTTGCAAGAAAAGAGCCGTTTTGCTTAATGAATGTATCCGCTAGTACAACTGACCAATCCCTGCTTTCCCTTCAAAGGGATTCTCACCAGAAAAGAGGAAAAAATGGTTGGTTTATCAATAAATCTAAATTGCCTTCAGTGAAGAGGCTTGGCAGAAATGCCAGTCATGGACGGCAACGCTAAGTAATTGCTGAAAGGCAATCGGAGATCCGAGTGACGGAGAAGCAGCCGGGAGAGGTACGGAGGGGTTGCGCGCAGCACCATGTGCGACACCCTGCCCGTCTGCGTCTGACAGAAGGACAGGATGCTTCACGGCAGGGATAGCACCCTAACACCTCATGGTCCTGCAGCGACCTACGGCAGGCCCAGGAAATCCACGTGGTGCTGCCTCACCAGGATGCCGAGCTCCCAGCAGCTCTGCACTTCCACGTCCGTGGGCTGTGATCGATGTCACGCGGGATCACGTCAACCGTCCACCTAGCCTGCAAGCGAGCTGTACTATTACGCTCAAAGGCCTCGGAGCAGGTAGGGTCCTCTGCAGAGTCCTGATTGCACTGGCTCTGTCTGTGCACAGTTAGCTATTCGCCTCATTAGCCCCTTAATCAACTTCTCTGGTGTTTAGATGCACAAGCTAATTTGTTGAGAAGAATATTAGGTTTGGCTATTGATTTTTAAGGTTTGCATATGCATTCCTAGAATATAAATAGTCTAAATTTTCTCTTTCCCATATTTTTCTCAAATTTAATAGTTATAATAATATAGATATAGTTATAATTATCCATCAGTTTACAGGGGTGTATACAGGGGGCGGAGCCACAGGGGCAGAAAGCTGATTGGCCCTTGGAGTACCCCTCCCCTATCACTCACTTTTCAAAACAGAACATTGGCTAATGAGAAGATTGGCCCCTCTGTACAAATTATAGCCCCTCTTACATCCAGCACCTTAAAAAATCCTAGAATTGTTCCTGACAGTGAGCTTGGTGCCTGTCCCAGGAAGCAGAGGGAAGGAGGCAGGTTTTATCCAGGAAACAGTGCCAAGC